CCTGAACGCTGCAGCAAAGATCTACATATAGTCTGGACAAAAGAATGGGAAGACGATTTACTACTACTTACTACTACAAGGTAATCGCTGTAAGGGGAAAGAAGGCAGTGAATTGGGCGTAATGCGTGTTATAAATGAAGAAGAGACTGAACTTTGACTTGATCTGAGGTCTATTTTGCTTGCACCAAAGTAATAGTCACTCATACTTGCTTAAGAAAGAATGAGCAAATTTTGAATTCTAGCAAGCACAAGAAGATCGCAAAATGGCCGCTGCTCATGTGGGCAGCCAACTCATCAAAATAAAATAGGAGCGAAGATTCTGTAGGAACTGCTTGTAGCTTCTTGAGGCTTCCCATAAGGTGGAATAGGATGCAAGTGAGGTTGATATTACGTATTCTGGAAACGACAGGGCAAATGAGGGCTGAGCGTGGCCCGAAGGCCAGCTAATGTGTACAAGGACCAGACAAACTCCTGAGTGACCACCAAACGTCAAGTAGGCACATAAACAAAGCATTATACTACCTGTCTACTCTCATTCCCTTGATACATGGACTTCAAGAGAGGGTAGTTGCAGTTGATTTACTAAGCAACGGCTACAGGACGAATGGGGTATAGGAGAACAGATGAGCCGAATAGTCGATGTCACCCGGAGGGAGATTCCTCACAGTCCTTGCGCACGGGATCCGCGTTCCAAATTGCTTCTTGCCTGTTCTCAATATAGGTACACTTAAACACTCTAGTATGCATTGCAGACTCACTAATTTTTTTACCAAAAATCCTCTTTCCCAATATATTCACTTTGAAGCTAGTTTTAACTCAGTCCTCTACACCTTTGAGCCGAAATTCTACACTTGTGTGTAACGCTTACTAAATCTTTTGCCATTTGGCGGTTATAGAGTAATATTTTGACGCAGTGATATAAGCAGCAAGTCCTACCAGTGAGCTCTTAATTTAATGGTTCAAAAAGCACATTCCAACTCACCATTATTCTTCGTTTACCCTCAAGGTGCCACTCGTTCCTATGCAATGTTTGATTCAATCCGCTCTTACGAATGCTTGATGAGTGCTTATATGATCAGCCGACGCCTGACAATTGCTTTAAGATTTGTCTGGCCCTTGTACGCGTGGCCTGACCTTCGGGTCATGCTCAGGCCTAACCACTTTGTCCCCTTTAAATACATGTATTCAGCTCTACTTGCTGCCTTCTCCTACTCAATGGTAGTTGTATAATCAAAATACTTAAGAAGTAGTAGTTTGATGTTTGTTCCTTCACCAAAGTCTTTGCTGCATCTGGAATGTAATTTTGTCACTAAGTGAGTTCATGGGTACAAATTCCTGGCAATTTATGCCTTTTTTCTAGAGCTTTTACTCGGCAATATTGGTTGCGTTATCATTCGCCTTTTTCTCTGGCAGCCCTAAGGATGATCAAACGGACTGTGTTGTGACTAGCCAACAAAACATTAAAATATAAGAGGAAAGCTCTATTGACCCTTGTATTTCTCACCATTCATCAACAAGGTTGGATTTTGATGTTGTTTTTGTCTTAAAGATATACTCTAAATCACCCAAATACTACATTATAACCCTCCAGTCATGATTGCGTTCCCTGACCCAATCAAAGTTGTAGTCATCATCAGCATGCAATAGACCTTTTTGACTACTAAGTCCTTTTCGAAGCCAGCGATGGACAATGGAATCCGTAAGACGCGTACGACGCCGGGTCAACCCCAGGTTAATGGGCAAGTGGAGAGAACAAATCGTACCCTCGTCGAGTTACTGAAGGCCTTTACCAAAGAGGTGCAGCCCGAGGATTGGGATCGATACCTAGGACGGGATCTTCTTGCCTACCGAGCCTCTGCTCACACCTCTACTGGAGTCTCACCATTTAAGATGCTCACGGGCCGTGAAATGAGAGTTCCTTCGGACACCGATAGGTGATAATGCGCCTCAATACGTCTTACGACTAAAAGAGAACCTCAGGAAAGTTTTTGATGTCGCGTGCAGACAACTGCAGAAAGCATACGCTAAAGAAAAGAGGTCCTGCAATAGACAGAGTCGAACAAACTTTTTAAAGAGGGCGATTTGGTGCAATTGTATAGCCCAATCCCCCCGCCAGGAACCCATCGGAAATTCTACCACCCCCGGAGCAAGAAACCCTACCGGATAATCAAAGCCCTGCCGTCCACGAATTATCACGTTCGGAACGCGGAGATCGCTACTCGGCTTCAAACAGTACACCATAACAAGATTAGACCATTTACGGATCCACCCCCAGTAAGTTACGAAGACGAAATCTATGCGGTACCAGAAGAAGAGCATCCGTCCGATTGAATCTCACTGGTCAGCACCAAGGCCGGTGCTTGAAAGAGAAGGGGGACTGTGTAATATATTCTAGCTTGTTTAAGTGGACTTTTATAGGTGAGAGGCAGGAACCAATTGGGAACGTGGATCACGTGCGAGAAGTCGGTGAGGAGCCTCCCTCCGATTGATACTTCCTACTCACCCTATCTGTATCCTATTCCCCATCCTTCCTAACAGCAATGTCTAATAAATCGTCTGCAACCAACTTCCTCCTAAAGTCTGAGAACCTGGGGCCAGAGGGTAGACAGGGTGTAACTACAAGATAAATCAAACTTTTCTTGTTTAGGTAAAGTAGATTTTCATCTCTTTAAAATACAAGTATTTTTTGCAACTGTCAATTCTCTTAGCCTACCTTCAGACTCCTAAACTTCTGACTTCATAAGTAAGTCGTTTAGAGGGATATATTAGGCATCCTCCTTAGAACGGAAAGGAATATATGTATGCGTAAGACGGCGATCCGGCGTTACTCTTCATAGGGGTCCTTGCATTATTTCATCACGGAATTTGTGGTCGATTTAGCTAACTGGTTCCCCCATACAATAGCATTTTAAGCACATTAGCATATAAATAACAACAACATTCTGTTCATTGCCCGTCTCTGTGAACGACGACCATATTGCCTCTGCTGGGTGGAACTGCTTCGAGCCAGGCCATTGCCACGCTTCTGCCCCCTTTGTCTAATAATGTATAATCAACTCGTTTTGTGGTTTCTACTATCAGATCGAACTGCGTGAGATGCTACAGTTACACAGCAAAAGTTTTACGCTGTTATAGTAATTTACACATTCTTAGTTTATCTAAGCCTTTAAAGTTAGTAGATATTTAGGGTTAATGAGAACCGGTATATCACAGGTTAATGTCTCATGTAAACAGTGTTAAAACCGTTCTTCACTGCTTACTTTTACAGTAAAATTTATTGCATGGGCTGTATTCGCGGCCCACCAAAAGATAAATTTTATCAGAAATTTAGGACCATAAAACTCGATTTATAATTGTGCAGCCACTAATTTATTTTTTGCTGTTAATATTTTGCGCAGCTTTTTAGGTTTTAAAAGCTTTACCACCGTTTATATTGCTTTTGGCATGGCAACAGACAATACTGCGCTTTTGGACTTTAATGGATTGCTTCGACCTGCACATTAAAATCGAATATTTGGGTTCCTGTGGGATTGTTCTTACCCCTGAACAAAAGGCCTCGTTGCAGACTTCTCTTACTCTTCTTCGATATGAGCAGAAACACGTCGTTGTTAACTTTTGGGGCATAGTAAAAGGTGTTCAAGGGGATTATTACATTGCACAAGGCATAGGAAGCGACTATATGAACGATGTTACGACAATTTACAGTAAAGATTGCGTAAACTGGTGTCTGCTACCAGTTCCAACGAAAAAGGACATTGAGACATCTAAGTTCTTTAAGATGCGATTCACTGGTGACCCTCAAAATATATTCGAGCATTCTGAATTGAAACAATTCTTTAAGGGCGATGAACTAATTCAAGAAGAGACTCAAGTTGGCTTTCAAACATACAAATC